GACTGGCCCAGCGAAGATCGGTACCCTATTCAACGGCGCCACCACTACCCACAACACACCCGACTTTTAATAATATAGGGGGGTACACCGATAGGAACACTTGACACTTTCAGGGGGCTAATGTCGTATTTTCCCCTCGGTTAGGTGTGGGCCCCAGACAGTGTCGCCGTGATAAGGTTGAAATTACGACGCTTGATTCGCCCCAGGCTGCGAGCAACTGGTGGTAATGGTACAGATAGCGCACCCTGTCTTTGCCCCTATTCAGTAAAGCCGCGGGCCTCGCACTAAACTTGTTCCTTTTTATTCGCTCGCATTGTCAGCCTTTGCTCTGGATAATAATAGCATTGCGCGCACGTGAGCGTTGGTTGCGAAAAGATGGAAATGAATGACGTTAACAATGTCAGTTGTTTATGTAGAGATCCGCGCATGTGAACGAACGCGAGCACTAAGCAGACGACGGTGATAAACCACCTTACGCGATGAATATCTCACATGGCGCCGCTGTCATCAGTATTCATCACAAACAGTTTCCTAATTTACGAATCCAGGGGGGTCATCAAGGTCACCGTGATTTGTTCTTAACTTAATGCACTCCTTACACACGCATAACTATTCGGGGATTAGATCAAAGGCGCTACCAACCATTCGTCAAGGTGGCTGCTGACGACATACTTTCGGCGATTCTCGTATTTCCCCGTCACGGTATAATCACGTAACAACCACCTCGCTTCAGTGTATGTTTGGGAGTAGTATCGTTAGAGGCATATACCCCAATACCACCGCCGGCACTTGCGGCTTGGTCATCGTCGACCAAATACCCCGCACCCACTTGAGCAATCTAAGCGGTACAAACGACGCAGAGGGCTCCTATCTTTATTGTGGATCACCGGATAGCGCGTGTGTACCTTGCTGCAGATGAGATTCACCCCATATATCGGCACAGCCATACCACAATCTCTGACCTCTGATCGTGTGACGTAAAATTTCTGCTTAGGCCAAAAGTATCTCCAGCAGCGACGTCGCCACCATGTCACGGTTGCTTTTCCAACCAAATTCCTCGCGATCGAGCGCAAAGAGACCGGTGCCGCTGACCTTGCCTTCAAACTGGCGGTCAGGGTCGCCAGCAACTGCCTCGCCTAGGTGTAACACGGAAATCTCGCCGCTGACGCCTACACAGAGCACCACGTCCTGGCTCTGTTGTTGCCAGCAGGGGGTGAAGTGCCCAGTGTACACTCGGGGGATACACGACGTCTGGATATGGCGCGTGACCCCGGCGCCGTTATCATCGAACACGGTGAGCTTGGAGTGGAACTTGTCGCCGGCAACGATCAACTCGCCTAGCGGCGCCTGGTTGATGAAACAGTTTGGCGGTCGCGCCTTCAGCACCGTGTGGAGACTGATAGTGCTACCATTGATGTTGTAGCTGAACTGGAAGAGCAGGTCTTGCTCCGTAGTCACGAGAATGTGGTGGTCATGCTGCTGGATCAGCGTGATCTTCGACGGGAGCATCTTGACAAGTTCAAGCGGGTGGATGCGTCCATCTTCATAGGAGGTCAGGTAGATGCTCTTGCCGCTGACCATAAGCAATAGATCTTCAACTTGCTGGATACTGGTTATTGGTTCGTTATGAGTCACCAGTTTTAACTCGTCAACGGTTACGAGGACCTGGCCTTCATTACGATAGCGGACAACATCAATTACTTTGAACGCCCCCTCGCTGCACACCTGGCACCCCACCAACACCTTGTAGCTGACTCTGGTGCCTTTATTAACCAGCCACACCATAGCACATATCGGGATCTCGTGTTCTCGGAACACTGAGCGCAGTTTCAGTTGTCGTTTAAACTCCACCTTTGCCGATTTAAGCAGCTTGCGGTCGACTGCCTTGATTCGGTTCTTTGGGTTCAGCAGTCTCAGCAATATGAGGAATAAGTGGAGGTGTTCAAGGTAAACGAACTTGGCCGCTCTCTCACCCACAACCACCTGGCGTATCACGGTCTCGGGGAAGAACAGAGGATTGGCAACAATGACGGCGTCGTCCCGTACCACCACAAGTTTGTTATCGAGGGGAGCACAAGTAAATACACTGCGTTCAACTCGTTCCTCACCAAAGAACATTCTCTGAGGCTTCAAAGACGACGACACCATCCATATGCTGCGACCAGTAACGATAAGGTGATTGCCCAATATGCAAAACAGTAAGGGAGCGTCGCTGAGTCTATAACACTCGATATTGTCGCCATCGATAGTGTAAAGATAGCCGTCTTTGGTCCCCACAAACACTGGTCCCTCAGCATCAGGCCAAGCCCACACATCATTAACCGAACGCAAATTGTTGAGCTCATATAAATGGTCAGGGTAGGGAGATGGGGGAAGCATTTGAGAAGATGGAGGCACCTCAGGATCCGTGTACATCAATAACTGACCGTCAAAACCACCCACAAAGAGACGAGTGCCCAAGGTACGAAGACACGAAACCTCTATGTTTGTGGGGATACAGTGCATCTGCTGCAACGCCAGGTTTAACAATTTGAGTTGGTTTTTGGCGTCTACCACCACAAGATACTCGCCCCACACCTCTGCGAACATCACTGACTCCGACACCTGAGTCATGCCCCATACAATCAGCGTTGGCGATACTTTAATTAATGATTCGTAAACCACCGCTGCGAACACGACCGGGTACTCCCATTCCTCCATTACCGTTAAACTCGTTGCAGTTTCGTCAAACACCACTAATGCCAGCGACGTCGGGAGTGAACACACGAAACCCGTCTTGTCACCAATCGCCACAGGGAATACCGAGGTAGCTTTGCGAAGAGATTCATCGCCGACTAACGCTTCAAGGGTACCGCCTCGCCGGAACTGGGTGAGTCGGGTGCGGTTATTAGTGCCTGTTAATGCCCAGAGCTCCTGTGATGAAGCACAATAAAGCCCGCGAGCATTATAAGCAGGTATCGTGGTAACATCTATGATAGGAGTCCAGTTGGACCAGTTCTTGCGAAGTTGGGCGGTGCTGTACCCATCATCGGCGAGGTCGTCGGCAAGGTCTAGCTCAAGCTCTTTATTACCATCAGTGTCGCTGCCATAGATAAACTGGTAGCGCTGGCCCTTAATTTGTCGTAGCAGAAACACCAGGATGGCGTCGGGAATCTTGATTTTGCGATGAAAGTGGACGGTCTCATTCAGTACTTGGAGCTGGTACACTGAACCGCCGTCGGTAGCCACGTAGAGGGCATCGCCATCAATATAGGACAGTGTCGGAAACTCGTGATCCTGCCACGGTGCTGTTGTCGTGGGGAGATTGAAATCACCACTGAGAATGCGGTGAGGTGTCACCACCTGGACACTAGCCGGTCCAACAAATACGAACTGGTTTGTCCCCGGAATGGTTGCCACAAGTACTGGAACGGTAAACACACGCGGAAGTGGGAGCATGGTGGGGGTATGGCTATCATGATGCAAATACAAGGCACACCGGTTGTGGTCGGTCCACACCACCAGCACCACCACTAGTTCGGGAGTATCGGCTATGGCGACGTGTAGGATCATCCCTGGTATCAGCATATTAACGTGTTTAGCGAGCATGATGCCATTAGGGGTATTTTCCACTAAGTGAAGACGGAACCACCGTGATGCAGTAACAAGCACGGTACGCTGTTGATGAATTAGAACTTGGTTCATATGCGACCCACAGTCCCACCATTGCACCACAAACGGAGTGAATATCGGGTCAGAGCCTTCTGAGGATTGTGGTGTCACAAGAAATAGTCGTACAAGTAGGAGGAACCCCAGATCCTGTAGTATAACCAACGAGTCCTCGTGTTCACTGCCAACCACATCCACCAGACGCACCATTGACCGGGTAGGGAACTCGACACCGTCGATGACAAGCGAGCCAGCTCGCACAATCACCTCCACCGCCTGGGCCACGGGCTCCGGTAGATCCTCCGATTCGCCATCGGAGAACGCTATATCGACGTCATCGTCGTCAAACCAGTCCTGAGACTCCGGGTCGGCGTCCTCCAATGTCTGGAACCCGCGATCATTGACGGTGGTGCTCACAAGGCCCCGATGTGGCTTGTTCACCACGCATTGGAATTGGGGGAATATCGCCACAATCTGAGGCGACAGGATGAGGGTGTGCTGTTGTAGATGTCGTGGTGGGGGAGGCGGGGTCTCCTCAAACAACCCAGGGTAGGCTGACTCCAGCTCCATCGCGCACTGATGGTGACAGATGCGATGGTAGTGGTGATTATGGCCTGATTCGCGACTATGGAGTATCGATGGTGAGATCAAAGTGGTAAATAGTGGTAGTTAGCAGGTAACGTAATTACTTGATGGTAGGCTAGGGATTGGAAGTTAACTTGCTTTTTAATTATGGTAATGTAGAATAATGAGATTAGTGGTTGTTTATGATAAGAGAGAATGGCAATTACCCAAAATACGAGTGAGGAGACAATTGCCATCCGAAAGATAAGCAGATGAGCAGAACAAGTCCCGAAGATAATTCCTAGTACTCATGCTCCTCTGCATGGTAGATTGTGCCGGTAATAAGGTCAAATGAACGCTTTTGACACGAACCTATTAAATAAACGGGATCATCATATCTATACCGTAAATGAAGAAACAATTTATTCAAACATTTCCCGTAGACTTTTGTCAGACCCCAATGGCCTTTCTCTATCCTCTTCAAGCCATATTTGCTCGTGTGTGCGGAACGGCTCAATACCCTACCAACGGTCTCCACAAGTCATTCGCATCGCGCACGCTTGAAGGTGATGTCAACCAACCTATTTAAGGCCACCGTCAACGAGTACCTAGAGGAGCTTCCGCGGCCGATTCAGCTTCAGCTTTTCCAGCTGGCAGCGACGTGTCTTGCCATCTACCGGTTGCTCCCGCCAATGGCCAAGTTCTTCATCATGACGCTCGTGTTCAACGACCAGCCAGTGTCTCTGCGTGACCTCGACAAGTGGTGCAAGCCGCAGGCAAGAAAGCAGCAGCTCGATCTGCTTACTCGGCTTCGCCTGCTTCACTTGATCGAAGAGAAGGGGCCTAATATCCACCTCCAGGATACCTTCCGCAAGAACTTCCGTGATTGCCTCACTGGCAACCAAGGGGCCAACGCCTTTGGTCGGGTGTACATCGACGAAGACGGACCCAAAGTTGACGTGGCCTTCCTCGATAACTTCGGCTCTACCAAATGGGAGACTATTTTGCATTACATGGTGGGTACTCACCATGCTCCAGCACCACTGTCGCTGGTATTAGCATTGTTACGCAAAGGCGGGCTCATGGAAGGCCCCCTGAATAATTTACGCATTACTAATAATGGGTTCCAGTTTCTTTTACAGGACCTGAACGCCCAGATCTGGACGTTGCTCATTCAGTACTTAAACCTCACCCAAGAACTTAATATGGACCCTGTTGACGTGCTCAACTTCATTTTCATTTTAGGGTCGCTTGAACTCGGCAAAGGGTATTCGGTGCTGCTGCTTTCCGAGACTCAAGTCAAGATGTTGGCCGATTTGAAAGACTACGGGTTAGTGTACCGCAAATCGGAGCGTCTGGCGGAGTTCTACCCCACTCGTCTTGCCACCACACTTACGTCAGACCTGGCGGCCCTTAAGACGCCAGCAATGGCATTGGATCAAGCTACCCTGCTGACGCTGCTGCTGGAGCTGGCGCTGGCAGGGGCATCCACCCTGAATCAAGGCAGTATCGTGTTGGAGACAAACTTCAAGCTTTACGCTTACACCAATCTGCCGCTCGAAATCGCCATTCTCAACTTATTTGTCACCCTCAAAACGCGGTTCTCTAATATGGTGTGTGGGCAAATCACCCGTGAGCTGATTCGTGAAGCGTTGACTAACGGCATCACTGCCGACCAAATCATCAAATTCTTGGAAACGCATGCCCACCCTCAGATGCGGATTTTGGCTAAAGAAAAGCTTGACAAGAAGATCGAGTTCGACACAAGTCACAACATTAACACCGCCGGTGGTGCGCCCCAATCGCAGGCTGAAGGGGCTCGGGTGGCACAACACAAGCTTGAAATCTTACCTCCAACAGTAGTGGACCAAATTCGCTTATGGCAGTTAGAGTTGGACCGTATTCAAACGTTTGAGGGTTACTTACTCAAAAACTTTTCCACTCAGCATGAGTTTGAGCTGTTATGTGGCTATGCTCAAGAAATCGGTGTACTTATCTGGAGTGATAAGCAAAAGAAACAAATGTTTGTCACTAATGATGGCTTGACCCAAGTTGGAGATTACGCTAACCGTCATTTCCGCAGACGCAATTAATTTTTCCCAGGTACCTTCGAGCAGTCATTCCTTGATGATCGTTGAGTGAATGAAATGCAGCTAATTTACCGTTGCTAAACGCATGATTGATTGCAACTCGATTATGCGATTGTCACTATTAGCTGGTGAAAAATCGCACTTTATTTAGTTTTAAAAGTCAGGCTGTTGGAAGTATTGTTTGTGCTTTACTATTCAGGCGTCGATGAACATGTCGCTTTCGCTGAACTAGTACGCTACTTAGCAAACCCCGAGCACCAATACCTTTTTCTCAAAGGTGTTTCCATAGTTGCTACCGATTACAGCTTTCTCACGTATCGTGAATTTACGAGTTACGTGAACATGATCAACTTATCTTGAATCTGGTGTGAGTCTTCTGCCACGCACGGGCAGTTGCCTCGGGTGTACAGCAGAGTAAAGATTATCAAAAACATAATTTGAACAGCTAAAATCGCTTTTGTCAAATGACTGCTTATAATGAGTCCGGGTAAACGGGATATGACTTTCTGCCCAACGAATTAATGATAAAGTATCGAGCAGAAATATAAAAGGCACAGCACTCGAGGGTCTCGCAGAACCTAATAGCTAAATAGTCATACAATTACATGAGTTAATACACTAAGTGGATTGTATATGTTACTTCTTTTGACAATAGAATGCGATGTGGTAACATATAAGAAATCTCGGTGTAGCGATCACTTTACGTTGTCTGGATGAGAAATGGTTGTTATGGCCTATCATTCAACGGACGTCCGTAAAATTTATATAATTCTGAATCTTCAATTTTTGTCACAAAGCCCGTAACCTGAGCATTGCCTTCACCCAGACTCGAACTATACAGTGATCTAAAATAGTACTTAGATGATATTACTGACCTATAATTAAAGACGATCTCTGACACTACTCTTGGCTATCTAGTTTCTCCAATATCCAGAACATTAGTATCACCTCACTGTCGCATCAACCCCACGAAACGTTGAACGCAATTGGGATAGCAGCGCCGCCCACGCCCCAATTTTGGCCCTCCTCCATATAGATGATATCACGATACAGTTGTCTCGTCAACCAACAATTCTGTTGCTAAGCCATCCAATAATACCATTGCATTCAAAAATGGCAACTTATACCTTCGTCGAGGACTGAACTCAAAGTCAGCTTCAAACGAGCCTACCACGATTTGAAAATGAGGGGAGACAAATACTATCGCTACCAACTGTATTAGTCTCCCAAGGATCTTGACCGAATTTCCTTTTCATCTTCATTGCCACAATATGCGCGATAAGGGAATGTTAGACGATGATCCCAATTCGGAAGTGGAACCGGTGACGAGACGACAATGCGATCAATAGCGACTCTGGAATTGTGAGCCCGCCTTTGCCCCTAAAGTGTTTGTCGTCTACCTGAACATTTCCCCCCGGGAGTCTTGCCGAACAGCATAAATAGCGAACCTCTTCCTCTATTATCTCCTCACACTTCCAAGCTTTGTCATGGCTACTTCTCTACTAGAGTACGGTGGCTTGGTTGCCTCAGACATGGCTGTGGTTGACATGATTCGACAATGTCTGAATTTTGCTGCGTCGCATTGAAGTCGGTGTGCGCCCTGCCGGGGATCCTCATGGTCTCTCTGGGACCAGGGTTGTGACTCCAGTCCTCATGGCGCACTTTACAATGTGGCACTCGGCAATCAGTTCAGGACAGCCATGGAGGAGACAGCTGGGTCCATTTTACGATAATAGAAGAGCAGTCGCGGCTACGATTATCACTGATAATGATCTCCACTAAAGTATTCGAGCGAATGTATACTAATTACAGGCATCATAATCAATAACGGAGCCCAAGGCTATATCTCTACGGTCCTGGAGCGTCATGTAAAAGCATACCGTCTCTTATTCTGCATCTCACCTGGTGCTACTTCCAAATGCAAAAACTTTTCGTAGACGAGATACGTACCTCGGCATCCAAATTAGACTCTTGGAAGCACTACTTTTGATACGAAACAATTGAGTCAAGGGTGAGGTTAAGTCTGTCACAGCTCACTCAGTTACATATTGCGTATACCATGCGCTTCACACTTCAAAATTCGGATTCTCGTCAACTCCTGCATATAATACACTGCATCGTTCGTCTAAAATTTTTTCAAATTTTCTTTTCAAATTTTTTTTTTTCTCAAAAAGACTTTTTTTTGCCTGTAAACAACTTCCTGCTTTTAGTATGGATGTCTTTGAATCATGCGGAACATACGAATGGCGTCAGAATTCACATGATCTGTCTTGTTAATGGTGAACGCTTGAGTTGATGATTCCTCCTCTACATGCAGAATCGATTTGCAAACGCACATGAAAGCATGACAAGTTCTTTTGTATCGCATCTAACTCCATGAGACTTCTGCAGTTAGTACTCTAGCGTATTTCAATTATGACGGTAGTATCATTCGTGGTTTGCTTGCAATTTGCAACTTGTAGCGCCATAATGTACTGCATACATGTACTCATTCTGCAGGTAATGCCATTGAAGTGCCATTGCTCCAGATACGTCATATCTGTCGTAAACTTGCCCAAAATCACATCAGCTATACTTCAGATGCCAACAATAATCGCAAAGCATTAAGATCAATTCTGTGGCTTCTATTTCATTTTATTTCTTGACATACCTGAAGTTACACCGAATTGAACGTCAGCCTGCCCAGATATTTATCTACCATACCTCTGGTGCCAAAGAATTTTATTGTGTTAATTAGAAGTCTGTATCAGTTTTTCCTGATTTTATATCACACTTTGAAGTTTTTCTTGAGAAAACTCAGAAAAACCTCATTTAATGTTGTAAATTCTACTTCAAACGTATAAATCACAGTGGTGTACTTTAAAATTTTTTAGGGTGTCGTATACGTAGTGAAAAACTTGATTGAAAGTTCATCAAGTATATGCATATGCAATGATTGTGTGCAGTACCTCTAACCCTGAATGCGTAATATCTGTGTTAGCGTTAACGTTAACACTTCCTGAAACCATCAAACTGAACAAACATGCTCAATACCAACAGTGATGCTGACAAAAATGAGCTGGTATCTTTGGAGGTTCGTGTTGTAACTCACCTTATTGTGTCCTGCATCTCCAGTCATGCACCTGCATAGGCATTGAACATAGACGAGATGGTACACGTCTCCGATAACTGCTACAAACATCACAATTCAATAATAATGCTTACCAAATGTAATAAACTAAGCCAAAAACTTAGAATCGTGCAAACTAAAATTTGACAAAAGAAATTTTTTTTTTTTTTTTCTTTTTTTTTTCACTTAAAGATTCACCTAGGAACTCCAATTTAGAAGTGAACTTCCCCAGATATTTATCAGCTATACTTCAGATGCCAGAGAATTTCATGAAGTAAACGGAAAGTCCGTACCATTTTTTCTGATTATATATCACACTTAGACATCTTTGGCGGAAAATTCAGAGAACCCCCAAATGCCGTTGCAAGTACTATTTGAGCCGTATGTATGACAGTGATATTGTTAAGTTTCTACTGGAGTGGGTTTCACGCAATGGAACTACCCCCCGGAAAGTTCACGTATGATATGCAGACGCAAGTTTTGTGTGCAGTTCTACTATTTGCAAGCATCATATGTACGTTAGTAGGAGTGTCAGCTTCCAGGAGACTTGTCGAATTATATAGCCACACTCGTAGAATACAGCCGTGATATACGAGTATATCATGGCTTACAAGCTCGCCACCTACATGTCATAAATGCGGAAGAAACCCTAGCACGTTTCTTGATTACCACTTCGGCTTCGTGCAAGTACCACTTATGGTAACATTCGACGTACATGTTAAGTTGGTGCTATGGCGAATGAGAAAATAGTCTTCACCGGCACACTAGAGCCAAACTCGGCGTGTTTTGCAAACACCATATTCCACATGTTGTCAATATGCTTCTGCGGCAGCAGATTCGCAATTCGCTGTCAAATCTAGGATAATAAGACGCTGCCAGAAAACTTCACGAGATCAGCGATACAGACACACACAATCAGCGATCTGTGTCCAGCATGCGCGTTGTATCTAGTTCGGCTCATGGTGGTAGATTGACAGATGCCTCTCGCTCACAAGTCAGTACTTGCCACTCCATATTGCATATAATACACAGGCCACCTCTTAAGGCCGCAACAACCCAGAAGGTTTCGTGACACACATTTAGTGTCACCATTGTGTGTTCCACTATCTCTTCATTGTAATTGGTGAGAAGGTAATTGTAATGAACAAAACGAGGAATCGGTCTCCACTCATATACGGACCCGATATATCGCTAACATGTTCAGAGCGCAGTTTGATTGCTGCCTGCAACGTTCATGGTTTCGAAAGATTTCAAGTGTTGCCTTTGATCAACTTAATGAGAGTATGTGACTTAATTATAATCTACACTCCACCCCAGATTACCCAAATCTCTCATGAACTAGCAGTTATTCAGGCTTCGCCAAAATGTCCTAACAGACTATGTTGAGTCAGCCTCACTCTTTCGGCGTGTAGGCTTGATAAATTACATTTGATTTTATACTCCGCGGTAACGGTTTTGTGCCACCCTTTTGCACGTGCTAAGTTTACTCCCCTGAATAACTCAACGATAAATCGACTAAAGTCTACTACTAATATGTACAATTTACATTTCCCTTAAGCTTCGCCGAACATCTTATCTCCCACGTCTCTTCAGCTAGTATAGTATGCTTCCCAAGCCATTATGACGCGAGTGAGACAACACGGTTTCTCCGAAATTCCCTGTGGCACCGAGTCTCGATAGAATTTAGATTAAGCCCACAAAAGGCCATGTACCAATCTCTCGAGAAATAGTACCGTTTCTTTTAGGCTTCTATTCTCCTTGGCTCGAACGTCTATCGGAGAGTTAAGTGGTCCACTTGAAATATTGCTGCCAACATCGCCTACTTGTGAAACAATTATGCATAATTTAAGCAATAAATATCTTGACGAAAGCGCGTAAAGTTGTGCTTTGGGTTGGCCATTGCAACCATTTGTCAGCTTGATACCCCGTGCGCCAGCGTTATACATGCATAAGAAACCACCTCGAGGAGGGTGTTTAAAGACACATTCTACTCTTCGCCGATAAATCCGTTTGTTTTTCCTCGGGAGATGGTATCCGCTAGGCTAGAAGAGGGGTACCCCGGGCTCACACTGCGTAGGGCAACCGTTCGTCGCAATTGTATTCGCGAGATCAGGAGCTAACGGTCTACTGTCACCGCGCCATTGCACGTGACAAGGTCCAGTGTGGCCGCCCGCCCCCCTGACCACTAGTGGCGTTAGGTTTACCCCTCCTCGAGATCTCTTCCCTTTTATATCGCTTTGAGCCGCCAGCGACGTCGAAATCTCTCTTACCCGCAATCTTCCGGATAAGAGCCAGCGCAGCCTAACCGTTTATTGCCATCGCTTCTCTCAGCCCCACTGGGATTGCGACAAAGAAATTTTCAGCCGCCAGATTAATAAGCAGCCTTATCCAGAAACCGACCTCCGGGTTTTTCTTATTGCAGCAACCACCCGCTTCGTTCCTTTACGTCCCCCATCCCCTTTTCAAGCTTCTGAGCTTTTTCCCCCCAGCCGTTTCGCAACCCCCTATCTATTTGCGCCACACCTAAATCGCCATGGGGCTTCTTTCGCTCGGGACACCATTGGACTGGCACGAGCTGAAGCAACACAATGAGCACGTCCGTGAACACGGCATCGCCCAGCTCATCAACATCTTCGCCCAGCACCTGTCTCGCGACGATGACCGCTTCCTTTGGGGCGATGAGGTCGAGTACATGTTAGTGGATGTCGATGATGCCGACCACACCGCTAAGCTTGCCATCGATTACGACCATATCCTCGACGATCTCAACGATCCCACTAAGGCGGGACCTAAGGCCGAAGCCGCCAACGTGCTGTTCCACCCGGAGTACGGGCGCTATATGCTTGAGGCGACACCGCTCCGCCCGTACGACGGCGACTGTGTGGCTGACTATGTCTACATTGAGGAAAACATGGAGAAGCGTCGTGAAGTTGCCGAAAGCGAGTTGCCTAAGAATATCGTCCCGTTGACCATCACCACCTTCCCGAGAATGGGGTGTCCTCAATTCACCCTGCCTCCAGCCAAGCCCATCGGCCCGGCGTCGCAGTCGTTATTCCTCCCTGACGAAATCATCAACCGCCACGCCCGGTTCCCGACATTGACGGCGAACATCCGCAAGCGCCGGGGACACAAGGTGGCGATCAACTTGCCCATGTACCCTGATCAGCACACTAAATTGTTGGACGACTCCATCCCTCGTGACCGGGGGCTCTTCCCTTCAGACGCTGAGCCTCACTTGGGGGCGCTGAAGCCCGGCCACGTGTACATGGACTCGATGGGGTTCGGCATGGGGTCGCTGTGTATCCAGATCACCATGCAAGCTGCCAATATTGACGAGGCACGCTATCTTTACGATGCCCTCGCGCCGGTGACGCCAATCATGTTGGCGCTTTCGGCTGCCGCACCGATGTTCAAGGGTTACTTGGTAAACCAGGACGTGCGGTGGAACGTCATTTGTGGCGCCGTCGACGACCGGACGTTCTTGGAACGCGGGGTTGACCCTTACCCCGGCTACCACCTTACCGGTGGCATGGACATTGACCCCCAGCGGCACTTGACCAAACACGCCACCAACCACACCATCAACGAGTACGGCGACATCAGCAACCTCAAGACCAACGACGGCAAGCCCATTCAACGGATCCCGAAGTCGCGGTACGGGCTGATCGACCAATACCTTGGTGACGGTGCTGTCACTGGGTACTTCCGCGACGACTATAACGATATCAACCCGCCTTTGAACCGCAAAGTGTTGGAACGCTTGCAGCAGCAATCTGGATTCGATAAGCTTTTGGCCCAGCACTTTGCCCACTTATTTATCCGTGATCCGCTTGTGGTTTTCTCGGAGAGAGTCAACCAGGACGATACTCTTGACAACGACCACTTTGAGAATCTTCAATCGACCAATTGGCAAACGCTTCGGTTCAAGCCGCCGGCGCTTTACCCTGAAGGTACTGACTTGACCAAAGTTCCCGGGTGGCGGGTAGAGTTCCGCCCCATGGACCTTCAACTTACTGATTTCGAGAACGCCGCCTACCTGACATTTATCGTGTTGTTGCTGAAGGCGATCCTCAAATTCCGCCCTAACCTTTACCTCCCCATCTCCAAAATTGATACTAATATGGACTGGGCCCACGGCGTCGACTCTGTGATCGACCAAAAGTTCTGGTTCCGCTCGCTTAGGAAGTGGAACTTGCGTAACAGCGACTTTATTGGCTACGATCTCACCTGGTTTGACCGCTACACTAATAAAGGCAACGATGTTGCCGGCTACCTCAACGGCTACAGCCGTAACGGACCGGTGAAGGAAGAAGCATCCAGTACCGATGAGGACGGTGAAGTTGACACTATTGTCGATGACTACGATGAAGTCGACAGCGACGGCCACGAAAAACGGTACACTGTGGCTGAGATCTTCAATGGTACCGATAAATTCCCGGGGCTTATCAAGCTCGCCATCAAGGCCTTGGCTACCGAAGTGCTTCCAGCGCTGGAACAAGGCCATTGCAACTGCGCTAAGCTCGAAGCCCAGGTGGTGCGGATCAAGTACTACTTGATGTTGCTTTCCTACCGAGCCTCAGGCAAGATCCCCACCACGGCCCACTGGCTCCGCGACCACGTCACCCACCACCCCGACTATCGCCACGACCTGAAGGTGTCACAAACAATCAACTACGACCTCATCAAGTTGGCGGAGGCGGTGACGCTGTACGATAAGACCGCCCTTGAGCCGTTGTTGGGCGACGAGATCACCTCATTTTTGACTGGCGGCACTTCCGCGTAGATGTCCACCTTTGCTTACAAAAGGTTTTAGAGATGTCCTAGAGTTTACTTCTAGTCTGTCATATTTAGCATTAATTCTTTTTCGCAGCCCCGCTGGCGTAATCATCGCCGGCGTTCCCGCCCCATCGCACCTCATAAACCATAAATCCCCCCTTACCCCTTCGCGTCGGCGTGCCGCCCAGGGCGTCTGTCGCACAATAAAGCACCCTGCACGAAATATGCCAGGGCAGGCAGTTAAGGGAGGCTAGAGTAGCCATAGCTGTAGCGTTGTGTTGGTGGGCACTAGACTCGTATTGAAACCTCTACGTTGTAAGCCTCGTACCATTGTTGGCTTAGGCATGGCGGGGGAGACGACATTCTCCAGGATCAGCCACCCCCTCAAATCGCAATTCGCGAGTAGTTTTTTCCATAATGGCCCCGGGCTGCGCAACCGCGGCGGCGCCAGCGAGGCCTCTTTTTCTCTACACCGTGGCAGCACTCCGTCAAAATGTATGGGCACCCTCCGCTTGGACCCGCGGCCTGGACCTCCTGTCGAGACGCGTCAGTCGCAGCACCGAAACCGGCGAACATCTCATCTCATACATTCTGGCCAAAGTACACTCCGCAATTAATAAGCAATGGTAGCACGATACTGCTATTCACTACAAACGAGGGGACCATTTGCTACGAGATCACCTGT